GAGCTAATGAACATCCCACCTGTTGCACATGTGATTTTCTACTTGATGTTGTAGAGCTGTCTTTGGGGCTTGATAGGGGCCGAATGAATACACCTCCAAGTAAAAACTGTCTGCGTACAAGTTCACAGCACAACTAGATTCTTAATGGGTTTCCATCATTAAAAAGTTGAATTTGGAAATTGTTTTCTGTCTGTAACTGATTATAAAACACCAAGTAGGTGTCAGGTGGGGTCCGTGTATTTATTAATCATGCCTGTCTAGGGGAAGAAAACTCCTTCCTTTTGCAGCAGTGTTCTTGCTTCCTGTTTGGAAGCTGTCGTTCTTTTCTGTGCATCAAAGTTCCCAGTGGTTTGCAGTATGCTCCATAGAAAGCTGTTTCAGGGATTTATACCCTTTCTGATAAGGGAAGAACTTTTAACTTTGATCCGATCCTGTTGCATTACCCCTTTAGTTATTAGATTAGCAAACTTACCTATACCTCGATTGTGTGGGAAGGACTGATGTGTATATCAGCTGGCTACGTGAGCTTCTAACTGCTATAGAAACCTCTCCAAAGTCTCCTGTGATGGTAGTTCTTGTTTCTTTTCTGATTCAATTAGCGCTGTGTACTTGCTGAATGTAACTAGGTAAGGAGAACTAGACAGCACTCCTCACCCGTGACTGGATTTACATGATACGCAGGAAGCTGGAGGCAGGCATTTGGTGGACAGATCACCCTCATGAGTACTGCCCAGCGCTCGGCTGTCTGCTGCAGGCGCAGACAATGGAGCATTCAGCGTGGCACGGACACTGGGCAGGGCAGCAGTCGCTCTGGGCTTGCTGAGTTAGCAGGCGGTGGTATGCGTGAGCTGCAGAAGCTTCAAGCTTAAAACTTTGTATTAGCTGTGGGTTAATTAATACAGCAGAGAATCTGTATTGTAGGTTATTTCTGATTGCATGGAGACTATATGAAGCTGCTGGAGTTCTTTGAGATTATTTTAAACATGGATACAGGGGGTTCAGTGGGCACAAGTGTGTTTTCAGTGTTTCTAGTAAAATGCTGCATCAAAGGTTATTCGAAGAGAATAAACTGAGTTGCCACGGGATTGAAGGAAAGCTGCTCCTATGGATAGGAAGGTAGCTAAAGAATAGGAGGCAAAGGATAGAGCTTAGTGATTGCTTTTCAGGTTGGAAAATGAGCCATGGGAAGTGATGCTGGGACTTAGTAAAATTCTGCATCAAAGGTTATTTGAAGAGAATAAACTGAGTTGGAAGGTAGCTAAAGAATAGGAGGCAAAGGATAGGGCTTAGTGATTGCTTTTCAGGTTGGAAAATGAGCCATGGGAAGTGATGCTGGGACTAGTTTTATTCAGTGCCTTCATCCGTGACCCAGAGAAGGTAATGAACAGTGAAGTCTCCAGTTTTGTTGGTGATACTAAGCTCTTTCAAGTAGCCAAATGCGCTGATGGTGAGAAAATCTCACTGTCAGAAGGACTTGACTAAATAAGGTAGGCAGGTAAAAGGTGGCAGAATAACCTTTATGTAAGTATAAAGCAATGCATCTTGGGGGCGGGGGAACCCCAGCACCTAAACCATGCCCGCCTTGTGTTCAGCTCCGTGCAGCAGCTAAGTCCCAAGATCTACCTTGAGCCTTATTACTGAAAGTTCTCTGAAATGTTTGGAGGTGTCAGCAGAATGTTGAATGTTGTCAGGGAGAGAATAAGAAATAAGACATTGTTTTGCCTCTGTAAACAACGATACACCTGCATCTTGAATTGGGTGTAAAGGCCAGAAGATTGTAGTGTAGGTAAACAAGGGGCAGAGGAAGGTACTGGGAAAGGTAAGGAGGTGCAGCAGCTGCTGTAGGAGAGACTGAAGTGACTGTGCCTCTTCAGGCTGAACAGAAGGCTGGGCCAGAGGGAACCCGACCAAGTTTATTAAATTGTGCAGGTGGTGGTTAAGGTGAATGTGCAGCTGTTCCCCAGATCCTCCAAAGCAAGATCATTAGATGAAACTAAGGGATCTGTTAAAAAGAGCAGATACAATACAACTTCACAGAGCTGGTGGTGAAGCTCCACTCGCCTCACCCTGACAAGTATCGGGGGCTACTGGGTGCTGATGTGGGCCTTTGGCTCGTAACTGATGGTGTTGATCTATAAAAATGTGAGATGCTAATGTACTTTGCTGTGCTCATTAATTAACTGTCAATGAAGCAGATACATTAGTTATTTGCTACAGTATCTAAAGTGCTTCCTGTGAAGAATTCCTTCTGTGTCCTGTCTTCATCTGTGGTCGTTCAGAAGCACTTAAAATAGATGAAACTATTGTGTGCTTTCCAGGAGCCTACCAATGCATGGCTGTTCCCCTGTCTGTTCACTGTGAAGCCTCAGAAGTGTCTGTCAGATCCTCTTCCCTCTAGTTATGGAATTGGGAATGTAGTTTGAATCTGAGCTCTTGCCTACAAGTACTGGTGCTTCTGTGACTTGGTTTCCAGCACCTGCTCAGACTTGAGTTACAGTTGTCATCGTCATATGCTGACTAATATGTGCAAGGCTTAAGACTTAAGCTGCTTGTCATTAAAAAAAAAAATTGCTGGGGTTCTCTAATAGTATGAGTGAATGTGGCTCTTGCATGCCTGAAACTGAACTGTAGGGCATCAGAGTTCATCTGAAAAACACTTCAGAGGGCTGCCGTCTGTCCTGCCAGCAGGTTACAGCAGCATTCCGAGTGTGTCTGTAAGCCTGGAGCAAGCTTACAGGAGCTGATCTTCCGTCTAAGCCAGCGAAACATCTGGCTTTCATCATCCACATCAAACACTTTAAAAGCTTCTTTTCTTCTAGAAAACACTGAGGCTGATGTAGAAGCTGCCCCAGGTCAGAATGAAGAAAAATCCCTGCCTGCTGCACCTGTTCCTAGCCCAGTAACACCAGCACCTGCACCATCCAGGAGAAATCCACCCGGTGGCAAGTCCAGCCTAGTCCTCGGTTAAACCTTTCCCTTCCTGACTGTTTTGAACTTGTGTCTGTTTCTTTTCCCCATGCTTGTGAACTGCACAACTTGAGCCTGACTGTACATCTTGAATTTCTTTCATTAAAAAGAAGCACTTTATGTACTCCATCTTTTTTTGAGATCAAGGGTTTTTTTTTTTTCCATTTCTGTCCTGTGTTTCCCCCAGATCTACTGGAAGTGACATGAGTGTTTTCTAGTGATAGACTTGAGGGAAAGCTTTATGAAGTATAGTAACGTAATTCAAAGGAGAGTAGATTGGTTCTAAGTGTGCTTAGAGGGTTTTTGTACTGAGATTTTTTTTTTTTTAGAACAGGGGTCTAGAATCCTGGTTAAATAGGCCAGCAAACAATCAGCAAGAGCAGTCCCTTCCTCCACATGTGAGATTTGGGGATCTGAAAGGCTTCATTGACTGCATGTGGTAAATGCCTTGAGCCCTGCTGTGCCATATAAATCATAAAATGGTTAGTGTACACCATGCTGCCTTTAAAAAAAAAAAATCTTGATACTGGACTACTATGAAGCAGGGTATGTGCCAAATAGAGGGCTGATGACCAGAGCCGCCTGGCCTAGTGCTAGGAGGGGATTTATTCAGACTTTATTCAGTAAAGGTGGAGTGGATCGTATAAATAAATAAAAATTACAGGGCATTTTTTTTACAACTGACTCAATGCTGTGCATGATCATGCTGGTGCTTGACCATGAGGTGAAAATCTCATCCTTTAAAGTGTGTGTTGTAATTTCACAAAGCTGGACTGTTGCTTAAAAGTAAATAATATAGAAATTTTGAAGCAGTGTTTCCTGTGTGGGTTTTATTTCATGGGTTTGGTTTGGCTTGCTTCTCAGTTGTCCTTGTCTCAGCCATGTTGCCCTGCTCTAAGAGGGGTGGAAAGCAGCAGAGCAGAGTTCATACCTGGCTCGAGGTCACCATCATGTGCCATCTTCCCCTGAAGAAAGTGTCTGACTTGCCCCTTCGTTTTTATCTTCTAGATCAGAGAAGCATGGAATAGGGCTTGATATGTATAATCTGTTTTATCCAAAACTTTTTATCTCAAGAAAATAGAGGAAATGAAAGTTCATTCTCCTCACAAGAAAGAAAAAACAAAACCGAGGCCCTTACCCGGGAGGGGGTGGAAGGGAGACCAAACCCTTAAGTTCTCTGTGGTCCTGGGGGGGGACCAAAGCAGCGGGTCTGTGCAGAACTGTGTCTGCTGCAGGGACCCTGCCTTTCCCACCCTCCTCCTGGAAGAACCCGTGCTCCCCTGTGTTCCAGACAGGTTCTGGAGGAGCCCTGCCCTTAGGTGCTTAACCTGTAAAAGCTGCTTTGCCCTGAGCGCTCCTCCTCTCCCACCGGGGCGTGGTGTCCCTACAGCCACAGGAGCTGCTGCGGGCTGCGTGTGGGCCCTGCCTGCCTGCTGCCTGCCCTACGAGGAGGAAAACAAGTCGCTTCTACCAGCGCCACAGCCCGCGGGACTCGTTAATGCTCCTCTGCCGCTGC